TTTCCAGCAGCACCACAAGTTAAAGCTGAAATAATGCAGAAATAAGCAGCGACCAGGATAAAAGTCAGCAAAATAAAAACTGAACAAACACAGACGTTTAAATGAGGCTCCGTGAACGTTTTTCTTGCCTCCCTGTGAAGCTTGTCGTTGGAGGAAACTCGACTCGGTTTGTGTGAAGAAACTATTTTTATGCTTCGACGTCACCACCAGCTAGCTGGCGCGCTAAACTAGCATCACAAACAAGGTAAACTAAAAAAAAATCATATGCAGCATAAAAATAAACCACCTACAGGCGAGCTTTAGTGTTGAGCTGAAACTGATTAGCTCCTCGCTAACGGTCGTCTCTCAGTGAGTGGACAGAAGATTCTGGAAGTAATTTCTCCAAAAATCTGAGCTCCGTCTATACAGGAGTGGAAATCAATTGTGTTTTTTTTCTGACAGATTTTGCACTTTGATTTGTGAAATAACACTTTAAAGCCGAGTTCAGTTAATATTAGCCGTGTGGTGGATTTAAAACAATTACAGTTTGTGTTTAAATCAGTTAGAAAATTGAAATTCTCTGATTTCAGCTTCCTAAAATGTGAATATTTTCTGGTTTCTTTGCTCCTCTCTGACAGTCAGCTGAAGATCTTTGGACAAAACAACACATCTGACCTCTTGGACTTTGGCTGACCTGTTTTCTCGTTTACATTTTGAAGGAAACATGCAGGCTTTAGACGTTGCCGGAGAGGCTTTGAGCTGGAAGGAGCCCCAGAAGGAGGTCGGAGGGGACGATGGAGACTGAACAGGTGACCACAGCTACACCCGATGTAGTCGTGATTCTTAGGCTTAGGTTTGGTTTTAGTTAGAATTTAGCATTAAATCAACACATCTAGGTTTAGGAACGGTAGACAAACAAGAAGCTTCGTTAAGTTCAAAAACCAAACTCGATTGAGGCACAGTTTGGGTTAAAATACGACTTTTCTTAACATCTTCATCGTCATCTAACACAAGATCGGTCGGATATAATAAAATATAATCCTGCAGGAAACACATTCCCCTCAAAGCACAACCGACAGCGACGTTTGGCAGGAGTGTCGTTTTAGGGACACGCGGCTGATCTTCTGATATTTTATAAAGCAAACAACTAATTGAGCATCAGCACATAAATCCTGAGTTATCGCAGCAGCTCAGCAACACTCTGACTCTCCCGAATCTCTGTCATCTGGAGCCCTGCAGCGTTTGTCAGGGAGATAAACCAGGTCGCTCTTATCTGCTGACACTGAAAACACCTGATGGCGGCACAGAAAGACGAGAGCGTTCACATCAAACTGGGACCAGACTTTGCAAACATCGTTTCACGTCCTATTCCCTATTTAGCATCAGAGCAACCCCATTTTTTAACTTGTGTTGAATATAATAATGCTAAAAACGTCTTTTAAATAATTTGGAATCACCAGTTTGAACCACTTTTTACGAGTAATCAGCTTAAAGTCACATCCCAGCAAACAGGAGTTGGAAAGGTTGATGCAGGTATATTCTAGAAATTCATCAACTGAATTAGAAAACGACTAACAATGACCTCTCTCAGGAAATCAGCCGCTGCTCTAAACAGTGTTTTGTGAACTGAAACGTCGTCAGTCTTGTTTTCGGCTCTAGAACACCATCTGATTTGACTGAATGAACCCGTGCTTCTGAGGAGAACTCAGCCGTCCTCCGCTAAAGTGCAAACACACAAACTCTGAGCTGGAACCCAAAGACTGGACGAGAGTGAAAGGCCAGACCACCCAATGAACTCATCTGTCACTCGGTGGACCCACATCACCCACTCAGCCTCTCACACACACACACACACACACACACACACACACACACACACACACACAGCACACCAGGGAGGTGGGAAGTGGGTGGAGGAGTCAATTCTGAGTCAATGCAGCTCAGTCAGCTGATTTCTATTGAGACGCAGGAAGCTTTGAGCCGCTGATTCGCTTTAATGTGGACGACAACGACCTCGCCGGCACGTCCGTCCCTCAGCTGAGAGCAAGCTGCAGGTGAACGTCATCCTGGAGCCGTCATGGACACAAACTAGTCTAGTCTAGCAGTTTGCAGTCGTGACTTCAGGTGCAGAAGATGTGCGTCTCGTTTGAAACCAGCAAAGCAAGAGACGTTTTAAAAGTCATCTCAGGTATTGTGCAGCTTGTGGGGAGTTTTCAGCGTCCCGCCCTGACAGGAGGTCAGCATCCACTCGTCCTGCTGCCACCATCAAACAGCGCCACCGTTCTTTGTTATTCTAATTGGGGAGCTAATAATTGCTGCTTTTGTTCACAGCTTAACCTGCTTCTTGTCATCACAGAGGACCAGTTTGTGCCTCAGCAAGGCGTCATTCTAACTTCTGTTTGATGCTTTTTTCCAGGATTTACAGTCTGAAGTAAAGTTTTCAGCTTGGTGATGCGTTTAAGGTTCTTCTCTGGTCACTGATTCAACTCCTAAAAACTCGTCTCTGTGGAGCAAAGTGACGTGTTTAGACTTTGTTTTCCGTGCAGATCTTCCCTTTATACCTTAAAATGTCTCAGACGTCGCTCTAGAATGTGCAGATCTACGTAGTCCCTGCTTCTCTTTTCACTCACTCCTCCACCACTCGCTGCAGCTCGAGCACACCAGCTCACCTACGACTCTAATCACACACCTTAAAACTCCTCGAGGCTGCACAGCAACAGTGAAAATACTGAAGTAATCCAACCATCAATGCTCAAACGTGGAGCTAATTCTGAAAAACAACGATGAGTCTGATTCAGTGATTTAGGTCAAACTGTCGGCTGCAAACATGATTTTGTTTAAAGTGAAAAGATTGTGTGAAATTAAACTCAAATGTCTGAATTAGCTGATATCAAACTGAATTCAAGTTGAAGTAACTCAATCAAATTGGCTTGATAACTACATTTTTATCACCTTGAGGTCAGGATTTCAGGTCCACACCAACACCAGTCCAACACTGGAGCAGCTTTATTTCTCAATTTCACTTTAAAAAACAGCAAAACACCAGCTGGAACAGCTTTAGGTTTGATGGGTAACCAATCTGGGAACTGGTGTTGATGTGAGAGGTGCACTGGCTAACACACCGACAAGGGAAACACTTGATTCTGTCCAGCTGGGTTTTAAAAGCTTCACTGAATTATCAACATTTCTTCAACCCATCGGCCCACATTTAGAAAGCAGAGTGAAACTGGAAACACTGGGACCTGAAGAACAAAGCTACAACCCGCAGGAGGTTCAACCTTCTGCTGCTGAGCTCAACCTGAGGAAGTGTGCAGAAAGGTGTGGCCTGGAAGCCTCGCTGCCCCAATAATCTGCTCCTGAATATGCAGCAGCGGGGCGGGGCTGGACATGCAAATGAGTGTGAGCGGGCACACTCAAAAACGAGCTGCTTTCTGCCCTCAGGCTACCAATAAATGCCGACTTCTGCCCAAAGCTCTAAAAAAAAAGTGAGCCACAGAGTTTGGAGACAGTTTGGAACAAAATGTGCAACAATGAGCGTCAGTGCTGCTAGAACTGACTGAAAATAACATTAACAAGTACAACAGGACCAAAGTGTGGCCAAAGTTGTGAAAACAATCAGAAAAGTGTCTCCTGATGAAGACACCCACAACATGACGCACGGAGGAGCCGCGCACGTCTCACTTCAGACACATGCAGCCGCCTGGAAGCGTGGATTCTTGCACCAGGCGGCTGCTGCGTTTAAACCGTCTCCATGAATCCACGCTGGAGCAGCTGCTGCTTCATATGAGGCTTTTACGCGCAGCCGCTTGATAAAAAGTGAACTCTGAGCGCAGCCAAGCTGCTCGGTTCGGTGCTGTGTGAGAGTTAAATAAACCGAGCTGAGAGCCACTTCGTGTGAAGGAGAGCAACATAAACAGATGGGACTTACTCCGTGCGCAGATCTCGCCGCCAGGGCCACCGCCACCACACAAATCCTGCCGGAGAAACAAACATTTTGAGGAGTCCACTCAGAACCTGGCAGGTAAAGTGCGCCGGAGCCGGAGTCCTGCAGCCCGCAGCGGCCAGCGGCGCTGCGCAGCTTCAGAACCCGAACCAGACTGGCGAGAAATTAAGTTCAAGAAGTGATTTTAAAGCGTAAAAAAATGAAAAAATCTTACAGTAATTTCATTTTGATCCGACTGGCAGAAAGGGAAGCGCAGGTCGAGACTCGATCCCCTTTTCTTCACCAGCAAGGCACTTCAAACGCGCTCATCGACGGCTCCAAAAACCCCTGTCATCTGCCCGGAGACACAGAGACACACACAGAAAGTAGTTCCACAGCCAAAGCCCGTCACACACACACACGCAGCTCGCAGCGGGACAACACAAGGTGCACACACAGCCTCTCTGCTGCCATTTCTTTCATTAAATCAGAGCTTATCCAACTCACCAAAGTTGCAGCGGTGAAGTCGCTGCTGCGCTCTCCGGGCTGTTGCGCTTCAACTCAGCAGCGCTCAGCAGCTCAGGAGAGGAGGGGCCAACACATGTCATTCATGCCTCCATACCTCTGGCTGCTGTGCACGGTTTATACCCGCACAGACACCAGAACCTCCTCAAACCGTGAGCTGCAGCAGAGGAGACGCTTCAGACTGAGCAGGTCTCCAATACAAGTTGAAATCTGTGCAAAAAGCTAAAAAACAGACAAATCATAAAGAAAACAGAAAGACTTTGGAGCTCAACCAAGCCTGATGCAATATAAAGTCCCTTAAACGTTAGTTTGTCAGTAATTAGTGGCCTCATGACACTTTCTGCACACATACACTCTTAGAGATCAGTCTGCATTAATCTCATTGAGATAAAACAACTTCTGATGACATTCGGTTCCACCTGCAGCCTCCACTGACTGAGTGGAGCTCCGCTTTTCTCTACAGTCAAAGTTATTATAACTGTATGAAACTGTTCATGAAAGAGGAAGAAAAGTTATCGAACCAGATTCATTAAGTTAAATCAGCTTGAATTTAGTTTAGAATCAACTAAAGCAGACATTTGACTTTCATTTACACACAAGGTTCAGTTGATGCAACATTATTATGTCGACACAGACGATTAAAGTCACGTTTGCAACTTAAAAGTTGACCCAAACTGGTAAATTACGTGTTTTTTGTAAAACAGAAAAATGTGAAAGTCGATAAAAATGAAGTTACCAAACTAACTTCCTTAAGTGACATCAGCTTGAATTTGTCCTCCATCGTTGCTTCCAGTCGTCCGTTCATTGGCCAGTTATCACACCGGATCCTGTTGGTTACGTCCGTGCTCGTGTTGATGTTCAGCACTGCCCGTAACATCCTGGTGCAGCGCCCGTCCACAGACTTCTGAAGGGTTGGCGTCAAGGTCCAGCAGTCACTGCCACAGAGGAGAAGAGACTCTACTGAAGAAGAAGCTGAGTTTGGTTTGGTGGGGGAGGTTGGCTGGTCATGCCATTCAGGGCCCTCCATGCCAGTGCCTTCCTCACTTTTATATCTTGCTCAGTTGAGTTGACCCATGAGCCCAGATACTTGAAGTCCATGACTTCTTTCAGCACAGTACCTCCTGCTGCTGTCAGAGGTTGATGTTCCGGTGGGACGTTGTCGGTGATGGCCTCAGTCTTCTTGGCATTTAGCCTGAGGCCAGCCTTGGGGCACTCCAGCTCTGCTCTGTTCAGTAGTTCTTGTGCTTAAATTGATGCAACAATATTATGATTGTAACTTTTGCTCCCTTTGGCCTGGACGCTCTTGTGAAAGAGGTTTTTAATCTCAATGGGTCTTTCCTGGTTAAATGAAGGTTAAATAAATTTAAATAAATGTCAACACAGCCAATTAAAATAACCTTTGCAACTCAAAAGTTACCCTTAACCAGTTAATTAGATCATTTTTTTATCCTGCAACCATACATTTAAGTAAGCGAGTCCCTTTAGTTGCTTTTTATCAGTCCATATGTGGACTTAAATCCTGATTTAATCTTTTATCATTTCATACATTTAAACCGAAGCCTGTTTTTCTTCAGATACTGTCTCACAGAGTCATCGTGTTGCAGGACTCAGCTCTACGCTACATGTGACGTAAAATGAGGGACTTTGTTTGAGCGTCTCCGTGCAGATCTAAACATGGTGCAGACGCCGAGTTACTCGAGTTGCAAACGGCCTCTTTCAGCCTCTCAATGTTCTATTTTAGTTCAACTTGACCCGAGCGAGGCCTCCACATTGTTTATAACAGCGTGTTGTGGATCACACTGGTGTCTCTGCTTCCATCATAGCACATAAACAGACGTCTCCTGCAGGTTGTTGATCTGCGGCGTCACACAGGGATCCTCACTGGGGCCGCATCAGTTTGTCGTGTCATTTGCAGAACTGCTGCATGAATTTGTTAGATTTGCGAACCAGACCGTAAAAACTGAAACTCTGTGCCGAGCAGCGTCTCAAATGTTTCTGCAAAACAAGTGCAACACGTTTGAATTCATGATCCTCTTGGCAGCTTCCAAATGAAGCAGAGAGTTTTTCATCTGATGAGTTGGAAGCTGAACAGAGTTGTTTGTCTTCAACAGTTGCCGCTAATGTTTCAGTCCAGTTTATTTATTTGCCTAAATGAGAAAAAAAAACATCGAGTTAAACACACAATTGTCAAATATGAAAACTCAAAACGTCCAGACATGCAGGAAACATCAGACAACCAACAACAGGATTCATCATCAGCAATAAAACCCAACGTTAAAAAAATACTCTTAATGGAAAATGATGCTACAAATTGGAGTTTGCTTGGCAGCACATTTTTTCCATTCCATTATTCCACCCCGTTTTAATTTTCCCCTTGTTTAGCTATAATTTAATGTGCAAACATGAGTTATTCCAAATCCTGATGGCACAAAGCCGAAAGGAGCAGATGTTAAAACTTGGCACCGCAAACCGGCAACACACTCTGGTGGCGGTTCTTCAGCTTTCTTGCATAATTTCTTATTAAAATGATGCTCAGTAACAATGAAAGAAGTATGTCGACCTTTTCAGACAAGATTTCATGACTTTCTGAGTATTGAATCCACAATGAGGCCTTATATTGTAAGAAAACAAGCCTGCAAGCAAAATGGCAGAATTTCACTTCCATGTGTGCCAGAGGAGGCTTCCATGGTCTCGTCTACACAGGAACGTTGTGCTAACAGCTCTTCCAACAATCCTCTGATTTTACACAACATTTGAAAGACTGAAGAGGACTATGAACTTCTTAAAAAGTTCATTTCACTGCCGACCTTTCCGCCAGCAGCATCCCCTCTGTCAGGAGTCAACACCTAGAATGTGACATTTAATAATCTGGCAGGAATGCAACGTGCCCGGGCCTATAGGAAATTTCAAAAAAAGGTTTAATGTCAAACCTTTTTTCTGCAGCCTCCGGCGTTGGGTTGGATTGGCATGCAAGGGCTCATATCCATCCGCGAGGTCCTACCAGATTAATGACTTAAAAACATATTTCAGAGCAAACTGCACCATTTGTCAGCTGCATCCAAGTGGCGCACATTGATTATCTGTTAGAGACCAAAGTTTGACGCGCAAATTCTCTGAGACGTTTACTTTCAGGTAAAGTTCCTCCTCTGGTGAAGGTGCAAGACATGATATCACTGATATCACTGCGCTCTGCGTGTGGAAAGTAGATCCGGCTGGGCAGGTTTGGAAGTCGAGGAGAGAAAAAGTTCGAGAGGGACGACAGAGGCGCACGGTGCCAGAGCCACGACCAGAGCAGCCTCGCAGCGCGACACACTGTTTCCACGGTTTTCCTGCTCCGCTCAGAGCCGGTGTGCAGGAGGCAGCAGGGCCGAGACATGCGAGCAGAGAGCCGCTCGGTGGGTCACAGTTAACGCGGCGGAGCCTTGTTTTATTCCCCCAAGATGAATAAAGAGCCGAAGAGCCTGCGACAGCCCGCCGCGGCTCTGCTCTTCCTCCTCCTGTGCGTCGCGGTGCAGCGATCCGACTCTGCGGTAAGTCTCTGCGCCTCCACTCTGCTTCTTTCTGCAGACATTTACTTTCCCGCTGCAAGATCCCGCAACCCGAGAGAGCTGCCGCGGTCCGGGAGCCGGCGCCGGGACCACCGGCTCCCAGCGAGCGGTTTATAAATAGAGACGCTGCTTTATAACAAGTGCTTCTGGTTTGGCTCTAATAATAATCCGGTTGGAGTTTTGCTGCGATGTAAATAATAAGCAGGTGCTTGGAGCACCTTTGCGCGGAGCCTTTTTGGCACCTTTTAGCGGCGGGACTTGAGCAGCTCAGCTTTGTCGTTTCACGGCAGATCGGACGGTTTGCTGCCTGCGCATCACATTTCTGCCTCCGTGCAACAGGAGGAAACCTGTAGCGACACGCAGAGCACTTTCCCCAGCGTGTGTGTGACTTTTATTCTGTTATCAGGACAAATATTGAGACGGGAGCTGAGTCCTGCTCCACCAGCCTCTGACCTGCAGCTCTGTCACTGGCACTCGGCGCGTCTTCCTGGACAGGCTGCTGTGCGTAATTTAGTTTGGTGACGACCCAGGAGAGGAAATGTGATTTTCACCTCTTCTGCAGGTGTGTTTAGTTTTGACAGCAGCTGCTTTCTGACGCAAAGTGCATCTTTACTGCTGGTTTCTGCTTTAGGCACCTCTCAGGTTGAGGTTCTGTCGTGACTTTGGTGCTTCTGTTATCGTACAGAGACATCAGGCGCAGATTTCTCTTTGCTGTTGTGTTCAGAAGCCCTGCAGGAGGTGTGTGTGTGTGTGTGTGTGTGTTGCTGTGCTTGTGCATACTCCACCTCTCCTCGCCTTCTACATTTGTTTAAATCAGTGTCTCCTCATCCAGCTGCTGCTCTGCAACTTTCCCTCTTTGACATCCCGGTTTGACGCAGCTGCTCCATCAAACTGCGGAGTCAAAGGGATGAGTCGGTGCAGGAGTCTCACTTCTCATGTAATATTCTGTTATTCAATGAATATTCACAGCTCATTAATAATTCAGGAGGCGCCTGCATGCTGAAGGCCCCGCCCACACACCAGGCGTGTCCAATCAGCTCTGCCGCTCATCAGTCTCCCAATAATCCAGCTATGTGAAGCATCTGCTGCTAAACCTTTAAACCTGCAGGACTCTTCTACCTTTGTGTTGCTGGTGGCAGCTGCATCACTTTCAGAGCAGCTGTGAGGCTGTTAGATGCCATGAAGTCACTGCTCACAGTTTCAGCTGATTAGAGAGAAGAAAATATGGGATTAACTTTCCCTCCTGAGTCTCTGAGTCTTGCCTGAACTCTGTGACCTTTCTCCTGCTTTCCAGTGAGGTTGTCTCGGCACAACACGGATTAAATCCGTCCTGAAAGCTGCAAAAGTTAACGTTGGACGCTGACGTGAACGGGTTTAATTGATGGACTTATTTAGTTTTACTGTAAAAGTCAAACATGTGTTTTCAGAGTAGAGGACGTGTCAAACAGCACCGTCCACAATGTGTTTATTCTGAAGTGAAAGGCTGTTTCTGTTCCATTCAACTTTTATTCTCTTCTGATAAGAAACCCTCTAAAAACACATGTTTGGGCCAAACAACAACAAAAATGAGTTCATGCAGCGGTTTGATCGAATCTTTTTGAGTTATGACAACTTCTACGCAAATTCTCTTCAATTATTTGATCATTTGGAGCAAAAACACCAGATTTCAAGTTTGTTTTATAGAAAATAACAAAAATCTCAGTTTATATTAAACACAGTTTTAACACACATTAAAATCATGTTTGCAACGTAAAAGGTTGATCTCAGCCTGTACATTTCCATTTCTGTCTGTCAGCAAGGCATTAAATAAATGTTGGAAACAGATCCAACATGACTTAAACACAGTCACAGCTGAGGATAAAGACTGGACGCCTCCTGAGATTCATCGAAGGGACGTTTGACATAATTCAAATGCAGCAATAAACAAGTTATCAATGCAAAAAAATGGAAGAACAGTGCAACAAAGGGAAAATAAAAAACGTGCAGAAGTCAGAACAGTTAGGATCTGCAGGAAGATATGCAGAAAAAAATGTAGAAAATGTATGTGCAGTGTCTGCAAACATGCAACAATAGAGCAGAAGAGTGATTAAAGTGGTTCAGTTTGTAGGTTTAGTTAAAGGTTTGTTGAGCGCACAGACGGGAGTGAAGGAGGTTGTTGTTTGACCTGCTTACAGCCTTTATCTTTAACTCAGGTTAGACTGAAAGATAGAAACTGATGAACTCCATCCCTCACATCCAAGCTGCCTTCTTCCTCAGCCCAGCGCTCCCAGTGCTCCCACTGAGGCCCCCTGGTGGAGGCAGCGCGCATAAACCCAACCTGCCTTCTTTATCTCTGCTCGCTGGAAGTCAAGCGTCTAATGAAAGACTTGAATCAATGTTTTCAGGCTTTTTAGGTCAGTTTACTGTCATCAGACTCACCAGATTTATAAATAAAAAAAATTCAGATTTCAGAATGTTTAAGAAGAACAAGACGACTCAGAGCAGTTTGTCCTTAAAGCTCACGTTACATCAGCTTCATTGTTATTAGTGTGTGTGTGTGCGTGTGTGTGTGTGTGTTGAGTATTAATCCTCTCCCAGATATGAATCTCCATTCAGCCAGGTGAGGGAGTTCAGCAGGTAATGTATACCTGCAGGTTTTCCTTTGAACCCGTCATGCCGCGCAAACCGCAAACACACACTTAATTTGATGCATGCTTTTCTGCACACACACACACACACACACAGATATGGACACATGCATGGCTGCTCCTGCACACACTCCCTCATGGCTTCCCTCACCTTTCACATGACCCGCATCCCAGGTGGGTTCGTCTGTCTGCCGGGTGAGCGGAGCGACTGCAGTCAGTCAAAACATCCTCGTGTCGCTCAGATAAATCTGTGACGTCGACGCTTTTTGGTGAAATATTTTATCTCCTCTCTGCCTCCAGTTTGTTTGTTGCCCAGGTCTGTTTCTTTCGTCTGCCGTTAACTCTCTTAACTTTTCTTTGTGCTTCATCCGTCTGTGAAGCTGTTTGTTGTCTCCAGAGGCTCTGCATCAGGGCCGTCCCTGGTCATCAGTCCTTTTCCTAATCAGTTGTTCGGCTGATAAAATGTCAGAAAATGGTGAAAAATGTGGATCAGCTCACGATGTCGGTGTCTTGTTTTGTCCACAATCTGAAGATATCCAGTTTCTTGTCACAGAGGCCGAAAGAAACCAGAAAATATTCACATTTTTAACTTTCTTAACAAATTACTTCAGCTCATGCATCATCAGAACAGAAGATGCTTGATTTAATAACAGGCAAATAATCGATGCATCGTTATAACAGTGTGTCGATCAGCCTCTGCTGGAGTTAATCAGTTACACATCAACCATTTATCATGAACTGTTCTGATAAATGATCCGTTTCAGAGTCTTCTGATTGCAGCTTCTTCAGTGTGAATGTTTTCTGCTTGTTTTTTTATTTTCTCCTCTAAGACAGTAAACTGAATGTCTCTGGGTTGTGGTCAAAACAAGACATTTGTTCTCTGAGGAATTTTCACTATTTTCTGACACTGAAAAGACAAACAGCAAATTGATTAAGAGAGAAAAATAACCGATTAATCGACAGTTTAAATCAGGGGTGTCAAATCCTGGTCCTCAAGGGCCACAGTCCTGCATGTTTTAGATGTTTCCTTCTTCCAACACACCTGATTCAAATGCTCATCATCAAGTTCTGCAGAAGCCTGATAACGATCCTGATCATGTGAATCAGGTGTGTTGGACGAGGGAAACCTCTAAAACATGCAGGACTGTGGCCCTCGAGGACCAGGATTGTGGTTTAAATGATCAATAACTTTCCAGTTTTCCTGGGATCTATAAGATGTTAGTTTTTAACAAATCTGTTCAAGCCAGAAGAGTCAGAGTCGGTTTCTGCAGTTTTTTCATGTGCAACTTAATCAGAATTAGACCCACTTCTAAGAGAAGAAATCAGCTCTTCATCTGCACAACATGAGACAGAAAACTTTGCTTCATCTCAACCCTGCACATGTTGTCACTGAACTTTAAGTTTAAAGTCAACAAACCTGAGCTGAACAGCCACATCAGAGACCAAACCAGCTTGATGTGCGTTTAAATTTCTGGCTGGAGTCACTGTGACGTCAGGCTCTTCACAGCTGCATCAGATTTATCTTTAAATAAGACAAAGATTGACATAATTTTGGCTCATTTTATTAGAAAAGCTTCCAGATAAACATCAGGTGAGTCTGGAGAGACTGAACAACACAACTCTGACTCATTCTGTTTCCTTTCTCACTCTTTTTTCCCTCCTTCCTTCTGTATCTTCCTCCCTCTCTTTTTTCTCCCCCATGTCTCCCCTCTTTCTCTCTCATCCCCCTCTACTTTTGTACCTGTTCTCGAATACAGCTTCCATCTTTATCTCCCCACAGAGAAGCTCCTTAACCAGGCAGCAGCAGCCACATTTACATCTACATTTCTATATCTGCACTTAAACCATCCAAACAAACAGTTTGTGTGCGTTCCTGCTGCTGTGTTTTTCCCGGCAGGACTCACACTGTGGTGTCAATGAGCTGCAGATGCCGTCAGGATTAGCAGGTGGACAAAAGTCAATGAGAGCTAACACCAAATGTTTAGACAGCTAATTACCCCGATGCAGCAGAGACGCTCCTCCTCTGCATCCGCTGCCCCGCTCCGTCTCTGTTTGCACCGGGAGGAGGCACGAAACTGGAGGAGAAATAGGAAAGGATGCAAACGAGGAGAGAGTTAGTCAAAGAAAACAGAGTTGTAGTTGTGCAGCCGATCAGAGAAAACAAGAATAAATCACTTTAGTTCATCAGAACATCAAATGTTGACTCTGTTTCTGCACCTCAGTGGAGAAACTAGTCCTGGAGATACGACTCATAAAACCTGAAATGTTGTAAATGTATTAAGTAGATATGAGTGGAAATGATCTTTTACAACTTCTACTTCCTGCCCACCGTTTAATGTAAAGCCACTATTCTGA